GAGCATTTAAAACTGATGGTATTTCGAACACATGATTTTCGAAACCCGCTCAGCCGTTAACAGAGACTTAGATTCAGAAGTCTGCATGCGTGGAAAGATATTTAAAATAGGCTTAAAAAACACAAGGCGTCAAAGTCTGATTATAATTTTTGCATTTTATAGAATTAGATATTTCACTGAGAAAGGTAAACCTGCAGATAGTTAATCATGGAGCACATCCAACGTGGAAATAACCAGACCGGTGAAGCGTAATCAATGGCGGTGAATGGAACGCAAAGCGTCAGAAACATCAAATCGGAACAAGCCAGACCTGTCATTTTAACTATTACCAGTATGCGCAAAAATTTCGGATCAAAGAAAATGCTTTTGGATAAACTGTGGAAGCAAGTGTCGTTGATGAATAAACACCTTTACCTTGTGTCGCGTCGGTCATGCTGAACCCGAGCTCATGAGCGAGTAGCTACCGTAGTACTTTCCGCATATTACTGCATATCTATTGGAATCCTTGTTCACGGAGGTAATGGTGAAGCGACTGTGGACTTTTCGCACGACCGAGTCGGAATGGCCTGACCCTTGAAAGGGAAAGGTGGGACAATTGGCAGATCACCTTCAGATAGCAGTTAATATCCTTTGCTTAAAGCCGCCATATTCATGCACAGCTGCGTTTGTTTTCTACGTCAAACGGAAATGAGACGACCTAACGCGCACATGATGTTACTAACGGCAGTTTGGATGGTCTTCTGAAAAGGTGCCCTATGTTTGGCACCTGCTTTTGCGATGCTCCTTAAATTGCTGATTACGCATAACGCACGAGTTACCAGTTACTATGTGGCCCGCAAAGTTATACATGTGACATGAATCTGCAGTGGAGGGTCGCAGCCTTGTAAGTTCATCCAGGATCCCATTAAGATGCGTTAGAAATCTACCGCAGTTGAAAATGCAGCAGACGGAACTGCGTTGCTCGCAGCTGACAACAGTAGGGTGCGACAGGTGGTGTGCCAGGAGCAGATATCTGGCTGCATTGTCACGGAAAAAGGAACGGAGATGAAGCTGGGCAAAGGTTATTCCAGGATGAGGCAAAATGAAGTGAAGAGTGTCATTACCCTGGGTTCGATGCGGTGAATCCTTGAGTCGATGAAGAGGGAAGTCCTGCAAGATGCAGGCATTTCCGAAAATAGTGTGTCTGATATGATGGCGGATACCTTAGGAGTGTTGTTGTCTTGATACGATACAGTCTAACAGGTAGGTGACTTATGTTGGAAGGAGTACCAACACTACGTGCAACAGCGAAATCAGTAGTACACCGACAATCCTGGTGCTTTCCGACCTTTTCTTACATTTTCATAAATGCCTAAAAGCGTGTAAAAACCCAGATTTGCCGGTGTGAACACCTTTTTTTGCATTAAACTTGGAGCAATTACTTTGTTAACTATAGGAACGGC